TGGCCTCCTGTGGGGGGGCCTGGGTGTATGGGACCCCAATGACCTCCCGTGGTGGGACATGGGTGGATGGGACCCCAATGACCTCCCGTGGTGGGCATGGGTGGATGGGACCCCAAAATGCCTCTCCAGGGCCACCCAGATGTCCAGGATGCCAAAACCTCCCCCAGGGAGAACCTAGGCATCCAGGCCTCTGCCCACCACCCAGGAGAGGACCCAGGTGTCCAGGTGACCTCCCCTACCACGGGGGTCCCAGGTGACCAGGGTACCTTGCTGAGCTGGGACATGACCTCCCAGAGGAGGGCGTGGAGGGTGGAGAGCTCTCGACCCAGGTCAATGTAGCCCTCGAAGCTGGTGCTGTTGGTGAGGGTGTCCAGGTTGGAGATCTCGTAGAGGAACTGCTGCATGCTGGTCCACTCCAGCTCCAGGAACTCGTTCATGAAGGCCATGTACTCCTCCTTGCTGCCAAACCTGAGGGCGGGCGCTCAGCGGGGTCCCCACTGGCCCCCCGACTGGCTGTTGTCCCTCCCCGGCCTCATCTGCCACCCTTTGAACCTTCTGTTCCTCAAGCTTCCAGGTGTCCCTTCATAAAGCCACATCTGGCCTTCATCCAGCCCTGCCATCCGTTTGTTCTCCATCCATCCGTCCACCAACTCATCCACCCATCTTCCTTCCTTCCATCCATCCATCTTCCTTCCATCCATCCATCCTTCTGCCCAACTCATCCATCCAACTCATCCATCTTACACCCGTCAACTCATCCCCCCACCTTCCATCCATCTGGCCATCTTGTGTTCATCCATCTTCTCTCCATCCACCACCTCACCCACCCATCAACTCGCTCATCTTCCACTCACCATCCATCAACTCATCCATCTTCTGTTCATCTGTTCATCTTCTATACTCATCTACCCATCAACTCATCCGTCCATCCACCAATTCATCCATCCATTTTCTATCTTCTGCCCATCCATACGCTCATCCACCCATCTTCTGTCCATCTATCCATCTTCCACCTGTCCACCAGCTCATCCATCCATTTTCTATCTCTTCTGTCCATCCATCATCTCATCCATCCATCTTCTGTCCCTCATCCATGAACTCATCTGTCCATCTTACACCCATCATCTATCAGCTCACCCATCCATCTTATCTCCATCAGCCCATCTTCCTTCCAACTCACCCATGTCAACTCATTCATCCATCTTCCACCCATTATCCACCAACTCATCCATCGCCCTTCTGTCCATCTATCCATCTTCTGCCCAACTCATCCATCCATCTTCTGTCCATCCATCAAGTCATTCTTCCATCTTCTGTCCCTCGTCCATCAACTCATCTGTCCATCTTACACCCATCCATCTTATCTCCATCTGTCCATAACCCTTCCAACTCATCCATGTCAACTCATTCATCCATCTTCCACCCATCATCCACCAACTCATCCATCCATCTTCTGTCCATCTATCCATCTTCTGCCCGTCAACTCATCCATCCATTTTCTGTCCACCCTTCCATCTTCTGTCCATCCATCCACTCATCCATCCATCTTCTGTCCATCCATCCATCTTCTGTCCATCTATCCATCTTCTGCCCATCAACTCATCCATCCATCTTCTGTCCATCCGTCAACTCACCCGTCCAACTACCCTCCATCCACCCATGAAGCTACCCATCCATCCAAGCTCCATCCGCCCATAGACCTACAGATCCACCTTCCCTCCACCATCCCTCCACTCTCCTCCCCGCCCACCTACATCCCCCACCATCCCTCCATCCAACCACCATCATCCACCACCACCTCCCCTCCCTCCTCCATACTGGGCGCTCACTTGGTGAAGTTGGCCAAGTTCTGGATGACCTTGGCGATGAGGGTGAGGGTGCGGGCGGTCTGCTCGTCGGGGTACTCCTGCATGAGGCCGAAGAGGCTGGGGGACATCACGGCGGGGCAGAGGAACCGCAGGAAGAGCGAGGCGCTGATCAACCGGTCGGCGATGTCCTAGCGGACCCGCTCGGCGCATCGCAGCCGCCACGAGGCGAAGACCTCCTTCAGCTCCCGTGGGAACACGCTGTGGGGTGGGGGGGGGACACGGTCAGGGACCCGCGGTGGGGACGCCAGGGGATGTCCCCAGCCCTGAGGACTCACCAGTGCGAGTTGACCACCTTGCAGAGGGCGAGCTCGCAGCACATGCGGAGGTTGGCCTGGTGGTCAGCCAAGGTGGAGGCCGAGCACTTCATGGGGTCAACCTCGCAGTTCTCCTCCGACTCGTACAGCGCCCGGATGAACTCGCCTGCGCAGAGACGGGGACATCAGAGGGGACCAGGGACGTCAGAGGGGACCGGGGACATCAGAGGGGACCGGGAACACCCCACTATCCCACGGCCAGCCCGATGGGGACATGGCCATGAGAAGGAACCACCCAACCATCTCATGACCATGCCAATGGGGACCTGGAAATGAACAGGGGCTGGGGACCACCCAACCATCCCGTAGCCAGACCACCTCAATGGGGACATGGCCATGAGAAGGGACCACCCAACCAGCCTCTGGCCATGCCTACAGAGACACGATCATAAGAAGGGACCACCCAAATGTCCCATGACCGTAACAACAGGGACACAGCCATGAGAGGGGACCAGCTAAGTGTCCCATGGCCATGAGAAGGGACCACCCAATATCCCATGGCCATGCCCACGAGGACCTGCCTATGAGCAGGGACTGAGAACCACCCAGTTGTACCCT